AAAAGCTAGTTAATCTAGAAAAAAGTTGTTTACTGTAAATAGACTTCAGAAAGAAATCTCAGACAATTTGAAGCAGATGTGCTTTATTTTCTCAGAAAATGAAGATGGAGTCATCTCTTAAACGATGGTGTATGATTGAGTGGAATAGAAAGGGTTTGTAACACTTCCCAGAGTGTTTGGGGGGGGGGCAGTGAGAGGGGCGTATAAGAAAGAATCAACTAGAAGTGGACATTAGTTGGCATGAACCACTCAGTCTATTCCAATAATGGATTAAAAATTTCTAGTGGAGCCAATTGACACAATTTTATGAGTTTTACTGCTAACACTCAGGCCACCATGTGATGCAATCAGAGAGAAAGGCCCCACGTGTTATTTTTTGGCGTAAGGCTTAGGAAAGCCAAGGTGACAAATAGTTCAATTTTCATTTCGTTTTTCAGGCACATTTGGCTGTGGTTAAAGTCCCCTACCCGTTCTCTGCTCTTTGCTCAGGTCATTCCTGAGAGTGCTCAGGAGTCCAAGGGTGATATATTGAACCAGTGTGCAAAGCATGCATTTTATTTAGCCTGGTGAGCGTTCTCTCAGGCCTCTCAAGGGGATTTTACACCATACATGAAATGGTGTGATTAATCGAGGATGGTACTGAAAAAACTAAGATAAAAGACTAAGAAAAAATGAAGAAAACTAAGATAAGATAAAAAGTGTTTGGAAAATTCAGATGCATTTGGTCTGATGAACAGACTCATTAATAATAAGAGAGAAAGAAAAAGAAAAGTCCAGTGGAGATAAAGAAGAGAATTTTTTCCATGGGTTTTTATGGGGCCACTCCTGTGATGCTCAGGGGTTACTCCTGGCTTTATACGCAGGAATTACTCCTGGTGGAGCTTTGAGGATGGATGAGTTGGCACAGATGGAACCCAAGTTGGCTGTGTGCAAAGCAAATGCTGTATGCACTCTAATCCAAAAGAAAGTTTTAAAACTCAAGTTTATTTGGGGGAATTCTTTTGTTCTGTGTTGGGAGGTGGCATTCCTGGTGGTACTCAGAGTTTACTCCTGGAATCTGTCTAAGGGATCACTCCTGGCAATGTTCACAGAGGTAGTATGCATGCAAGGCACGTGCCTTGCCTACTATATTATCTCCAGATAAATCAGCATCATTATTAGGTCTTGAATAGACTGTTCTATTGATATTGACACATTTTGGTAAAATGTTATCTTAATGTTTAGGTCCTGAAGATGCGGCAGTGGGGGAAGTGACTCTCCCAAAGAAGAGGGTCTCAGAGGTGCCTCACAAATCAAGCTGTAGTTCTTCCTTTGGGCAGATTCGCAATTATGTTGCAGGTCACCTGATTCTTGGTTGTACCTGAAGTCCCCCTTAACCTCAACTGCACAGAAACTGGTCCTCAAGTTCTCAGGGAAGCATAGACTCAGGCTGAAATGAGGAAATTGCTCTTTGCAGGAAAGGAAAGTCAGTTTGATCCTTTTACTGGGATTTTCAGAGTCTTCCCTAATAGAAAAGACTTTCTGTAGATTATGAATAATGAAGACAAGTTGGTTTCTCTAGAGAAATATGGGTGTTGGGGGGGGGGAGTGTGGACCACGTGTGTGTGTGTTGAGGGGGGGTGGTTACAAACCCTGACTTCAGCAGAGGGACAAGGCCAGAGAGTCGTGCACATCTCAGATTCCAAAGGAGACAAATTTCCAAGAGAGAATGCACCACTTGCTTTACAAAAGTGATTTTGTAGTAGAAATTTCTTCAAACTGCCCAGACTGGTGCTTTGTTGCTTGCCAGGATGTGGCCTGTGGAAAGAGTGTTGCATTCTTAATGGTCTTTCCCATAATATTTGCAATGTTCCAACACCCTTCCCTACACCACCAATGTTATTACACATTTCCCACCACCAATGTCCCCAGTGGGCTTGAGCGATAGCACAGCGGTAGGGTATTTGCCTTGCGCGCAGCTGGCCTGGCCGAGCCAGGTTCGATTTCTCCACCCCTCTCGGAGAGCCCGGCAAGCTGCTGAGAGTATCTCACCCGCAAAGAGTATCTCACGGCAAAGCCTGGCCAGCTACCCATGGCATTTTTAATATGCCAAACACAGTAACAAGTCTCACAATGAAGACGTTACTGGGCCCACTCTAGCAAATTGATGAATAACTGGAGGACCATGAATGTCCCCAGTTTCCCTCCTGCCACCCTCAACACCCACTCACCCCACCCCCAGCCAGCCTATCTCTCTGGTAGGCACTTTTCTTCTCTCTCACTCCCACTCTCTTTCTCTCTCTTACCTTTTGGGCATTATGGTTTGCAATATAAGTACTGAAAGGTTATGAGGTTTATCCCTTTATCACCTTTCAGCACTCAGTTCTTGTCCAGAGTGATCACTTCCAGCTATTACTGTCATAATGGACTTCTCTATCCTAACTGCCCTTCCCTCTCCACTGCATGTAGCAAGTTTCCAACTCTGGTCCCATCCTATTGGCCTCTGTTTCTACTGCCCTTGGCTTTTAGTCTCCTACTATGATTATTTATACCCTACAACTGAGTACAATCATTCTTTGTCTGTTCCCTCTCCTTCTGACTCATTTCATTCAGCATGATACTCTCTATGCCCATCCATTGATAAGCACATTTCATGATTTTATTTTTTCTGGTAACTGCATTGCATTCTATTGTGTAGATGTACCGTAGCTTCTTTATCCAGTCACTTGTTCTCGGGCACTCATACAGTTTCCACATTCTGGCTATTGTGAATAATGCTGCAATGAACATAGATGTGCAGATGGCTTATCTGTTGTGTGTTTTTTCGGGTCCTTGGGGTATATTCCCAGAAGTCATATTGCTGGGTCATATGGAAGCTCGATTTCTAGTTTTTTGAGGAATGCCCATATTGTTTTCCAAAAGGGCTGGACCAGTCAGCATTCCCACCAACAATGAAGAGTTCCTTCCTCCCCGCAGCCATACCAGCACTTGTTATTCTTGTTCTTTTTGATGTGTGCCAGTCTCTGTGGCTTAAGATGATATCTCATTATTGTCTTTATTTGCATCACCCTGATGATTAGTATTGTAGAGCAATTTTTTTTCACATGCCTTTTGGCCATGTACGTTTCTTCTTTGAGGAAATTTGTGTTCGTTTCTTTTCCACACTTTTTGATGGAATCGGATGTTTTTTCCTTGTCAAGTTCTACCTGTGCCTTATATATCTTTCACATTAATCACTTATCAGATAGGTATTGGGTAAATATTTTATTCTATTACATGGACTGTCTCTGCATTTTGATCACTGTTTCTTTTGATGTGCAGAAGCTTATTAAGCTTAATGTAGTCCCATTTGTTTATCTTTGCTTCTACTTGCTTGGTCAGTGATGCTTCATCTTTGAGGATGCCTTTAGCTTTTCTTGGGACCATTTAGTCCTTTTACTGAGCAGATCCACCCCTTTCGGTGGTACTTTAGTTTTTCATTCTGAGTGGAGCCTTCATACCTTTGGGCAATTTCAGAGTTGGTGAAAAACTTTACATCACACCTGGGCATTATTTATTCCCTAAAAATTTAACACCAGGAGTCTTTCCCTGTCTACTTGACTATAACAAATGTAATGTATGTTATTCTAATGTTCTGTTCAAGTCAGTAAATTAAAAACATTAATCATTATTTTACGTCTTAGTATTCATATCTCTTTGGACATAAATTTAAATAACAAGTTAGGACATAAATTTAAGTAAAGAAAAAAATAAATGTTTATTTCATTTTTGGTGAGAGTTTGGGCCATTCCTGGCAGTACTTGGGAGTTATTCCTGCCTCTGTGCTCAGTGGGTGCTCCCAGTGGTGCTGGGGTTTGACTCATATGTACAAGAAAATGAGACAGGATTGGGCACTTGCAAGGCAATTGCCTTAACTTCTGTACTATCTCTCTTCCCAAGAAATTAAGTATTTCCATTTAGTGATATCCGGCTAATATTTAGATCTCATATTTTGCCTTGGAAATTTCTTCATTTTTTGTAGGTATTTATATCACCAACTTTGTTTGGGAAACCTTACTTCCAGTGACTCCTTTGTGAATTGAAATGATTAATTTTAAGATTCAGGAAGAATCATTGTTATTGATGTCAATCCGTAACTTACAAGGGGCTCACAGAATACCTTTATCCCTAGACTGGGAGACATAGTTGATCACTTTCACCATTTAACATTGATAGAGCTGATTCAAAGCAGACCACTTGACAGCGTCACCGTTCTTAGATTTTACAAGTAATACACTGCTGACACGTAGGCTGAACCACTTCTGTGTTACTCTCCACCTTGGGTTGCTACCAATCCCAATTCTTCTCTCTGGAGATGAATATTAACTAAAATAATGTTAAAACAGAGAATCTCATCTCTAAACCAGTCCACAAACCATGAAATGCATGCTAGATCTGTTCCCCTATGGTTACTTACATAAATAAAATATGTTTATTGTAATTTTTTACATATTGTCTTTGACTGCTTTTGAACTACAATGACAGATTTGAAGTTGGGATAAGTAGCATACAATCTGCATATCCTAAAATATTTCAGTATGCCAGGACCTTAACAGAAAACTAACTCCCCCTGATTCTTTTTTTTTCCCCCTTTATTTTATTTTATTTTTTTAAAGTTGTAGATTTACAGTTTTTTGTGCTTTGGTTTCAATTATACAATGATCAGATACCCATCCCTCCACCAGTGCCCATTTTCCACCACCATGGATAATATCCCTCCCACCCCCATCCCCCCATCCCCCCTGTCTCTGTGGCAGGGCAATCCCCTGTGTTCTCTCTCTCCTTTTGCTCCCCCTGATTCTTAATCTAAATTTTTAGATCACTGATTTAAAAAAGATATCACGCATCACTTGCTTTGTGAATCTGTAAGCAAAATCACCATTTCATATTCATATTGTATGCCAGTAACAAGTGTTTATTAAATATTTAATTTGCTTACCATTAATGGATATTATGTTTCTCTCTTTTCTCTCCCTCTGTAGCCCCTGCTATGTGGATATTTGTTAGCAATGACTGATGTGGAAACTACATATGCAGATTTTATTGCTTCAGGAAGAACAGGTAGAAGAAATGCAATACATGATATCCTGGTTTCCTCGGCAAGTGGCAACAGCAATGAATTAGCATTGAAATTAGCAGGTCTTGATATCAACAAGACAGGTGAGTTGGGGGAATAGCACTGTCCTCCCGTTGTTGATCGATTTGCTCGAGCAGGCCCAGTAACGTCTCCATCGTAAGACTTGGTGTTACTGTGTTTGGCATATTGAATACGTCATAGGCAGCTTGCCAAGCTTGTCATGGGGTCGAGATACTCTTGGTAGCTTGCCGGGCTCTCCAAGAAGGGCAGAGGAATCAAGCCCGACTCAGTTGGGCCAGCTGCATGCAAGGCAAACGCCCTATCGCTGTGCTATCGCTCTAGCCCAGTTGGGGGAATAAATCTATGAAATTGAAATGATTGTTGCACGTCATTAAGATTAATATCTAAAAATTCCCCAGTTAAATATTATAAATAGTCTAAAACAGATGAAAAGTTAGGGATGAATTTCTTACTCATTGCCATTTATTTTCAGTGATTTTCTTTGCAGAGGTTCCTATTCAAATACAGAGTTCTAACTTTAATTTTATTAATGTAATCAAAACTTTTATTTTCAATTTTATTGTCAATATGAGATCCCCCCACACACACACCAAATCAGAAAAAAGATTTTATATAAGAAGGGAAAGGGCACGAAGCCTTCCATGGTATGAGATGAGGTCGCACAAGTGGGATTCCCTTAAGTTTCTTATGTATGATACTTAATAATGCTGGAACTAATATTGCTGATAGTATTGGCTGTTTGTAACATATCACTGACTTAGGTATTGAACATGCTTCATAAGTAAGCGGATAGACCTCAATTCCAAGACCATTTAAAAATAAATGGGTCCATTTCAAAATAAATAGAACAAATTAAGAATGGAAATAAAGTAACTTTGTGTAATAAACTCTTAGGTAAAGAGATCTTCAAGTTTTCCTCTATGTTTAAATAAGTTTGTAAAAAAATCTTTGTACTCTAGACCTTGTCATATTTTGGGGTCTAATTAACCATTGTAAAGAGAAAACGAGGTTTACATTTCAGTATATGTTAGTATTTCTGAGTATTTGAGTTAAGTCCTCTGTTAGTTTCTTTATTTGTATCTGTTCCAAGTATCACAGTTGAAAACTTGACTGAAAGTAAAAACCTTTAAAGTAAAAGGAATTCAAACTTAAGAAACCACATTTTGTATACGTGGAAAAATTCTTTGAGACTTTGACTCATGGTGACCACTAAATATTAACTTCAGTCACCCTACCCTTTGTTGTCTTTGCAATGCTAACGTTGACAGTAAATTGCAGTGCTCCGGAGGTTGAACACCTGTGGCTCCAGAATTTTGTTTGGCCATGTTTGATGGTATCGATGATGAAATTTGTGGTCTCAGGCACCCTTAATAGTGAGTGACATTTGGGCCCTCAATATTACTTCTCTAAGAGATTTTTTTATGGCATAGCCTTGCCGTTGTAGAAAATAGAGCTAGAGGAGATGTGTGTGTGTGTGTGTGTGTGTGTGTGTGTGTGTGTGTGTGTGTGTGTCTATATAGAGAGACTTTTGCATCTTTTAGATATCCTTGATTCTCTATCATTACTACCAAGAGTTACTTACAAAGCAGCTTTGATAAAGATTTTAGGGAATGAATCTAATTTGGCAGAGCATCTGTGGCAAGCAAATCATTTTTTAATTTATATTTTTATTAAGACTCTGTGATTTACAAAGTTGTTTCTAATAGAGTTTTTTCAACACCAATCCCACCACCAATGTTTCCCTTCCACCAGTGTTCCCAGATTCGCAAATACTTTTTTTAAGAATTAAAAATTTGCTAATTTGTTTACTAAAATTTTTATTTTAGGGGCCAGAGGGGTAGTAAATAGGTTAAGGTAGTTGCCTTAGTTGCCTTGCATGCTGCTAACAGCCCATATGAGCCACCAAGTGTCACCCCAGGAGTGATCCCCGAGTGCAGAGTCAAGAGAAAGCCCTGAGTACATCTGGGTGTGTCCCCAAAACCCCCAAAAAATGTATATTAATATTCCATTCAAAATAATATGCATTGATTTTAGGAACTCTTAATATTAGTGCATTTTATACTGTTATTTATTTTCATATGTACACTTAAATTAAGACTTATTAGCCCCTAGATATTGCTTATTATAAGATAATATGTTAAATTATTATATAGATTTAAATAATGAATAGGCACTTTATAGTAAAATATAATGACGCAATTGTATTTATGTTAATTAGTCATTAAATAATTAAAATAATTCAAATATCTGTTTACCCAATTATTTATTTATTTATTTATTTATTGAATCACCATGGGAAAGGTTACAAAGCTTTCAGGTTTAGGCCTCAGTCATGCAAATATCAAACACATTTCCCTTTACCAAAACTTATTTTTTACCATGAAGAACCCCAATAAAACCCCACCTCCCGCCCCTCCCAGTCCCTGTGGGGCAGATGAATTCTAGTTAACACTCTATCTGCTTTGATTAGATTCATTGTTTCAATAAAAGATTCACCACTATTATTTAGAGTTTACCCCCCCCCCCAAATCAGACATGCTGACAAAGCATTGTGAAGTGATTTGCTTTCTACAGCTGGGTTCAAGAATTATATGTTGGTTTTGGATTTCTGCTATTTTACTTATTGACCCTGGAAGTATTTCTACTGAAAGTCAGATAGTTAAGAAATCGGTTTCTGTGCTCTGGAGTCGTGGCCGTGCTAGAGAGCCGCTAGTGGGGGGCAACTGGTGGCCTCGGTAGGGCGTGAAGGGCGGACCGAAACGCCCCCCTTCCCATGAGGTTTTAGTCTCCCCCAGTCCCCCGGCTCATACCTGCTGTCCACAAGGCTCCCATGCGGCCACCATCTTTCTTTCCAGAGAGGAGAAGACGACTGGGGCAACACCCTTTCCCCTCCGGACAGACCTGATGGCCTGGATTAACGCATAGTCCATTCACTTTTCTGCTCCAAGCTGCCGGGTTCTGCATTAAGTCCTTGTGCTTCTGGGGCCGTGGCCGTGCTGGAGAGCCGCTCGCGGGGGGCAACTGGTGACCTCGGTAGGGCGTGAAGGACGGACCGGAACGCCCCCCTTCCCATGAGGTTTTAGTCGCCCCCACACCCCCGGCTCATACCTGCTGTCCACAAGGCTCCCATGCGGCCACCATCTTTCTTTCCAGAGAGGAGAAGGCGACTGGGGCAACACCCTTTCCCCTCCGGACAGACCTGATGGCCTGGATTAACGCATAGTCCTTTCACTTTTCTGCTCCAAGCTGCCGGGTTCTGCATTAAGTCATACCTGGCAATGCACAAGGGTTACTCCTGACTCTGCACTCAGGAGTTACTCCTGGCCGTGCTCAGGGGACCATATGGGATGCTGGGAATCGAACCCGGGTCGGCCGCATGCAAGGCAAACGCCCTACCTGCTGTGCTATCTCTCCAGCCCCTATCTAAATTTTTTTTAAAAAAAACATTTATACATGTTAGTTGCAATGTTCTAGACCCTTAAATTTGGGTTTTTTTAATCATAAATTCTAGATCTAGGCAAAATACAGCATTAATTTCTCATTATAAGTATAAGAAACCAATAATAACAGTGTAATATAAAAGTCTAAAATACAAAAACTAACAAATAGAATGAAATATCACTGATAATTCTGCAAGATTTCCTTTGTGTGCCTGAATATTTTCATTATTTTTGCTTGCTGCCCACAGTAGAACCTGGCAAGCTCCCCATGGTATATTCTATATGCCAAAAACAGTAACAACAAATCTCACAATGGAGACGTTACTGGTGCCCACTTGCGCAAATGGATGAACAACGGGACAAAAGTGCTACAGTGCTACTCAACAATATTGGTGGCCCATATTAACTCTTGACTTACTAAGAATTTATCTAACCGAGTCACACTCTGTATTCACAGCATTATGCTCGGCACTGAGAATTGTCCTCAGGTACCTAGATAGTTCTAACCTCTTAGAAATCATTTTCTCTTCTCATATTTATGCAACCACTTTTATCCTCAAATATTCTACTGTCTTAGATTGTCCTAATTTAACTTCATTGCATTCATTACTGAAACTAGTTCTCTTGAATTCTCAGTGAATGCTCAACTGTTCTTGTCATATTTGGACCATCTGCACTAAGAATGAAAGCAGTGCATAGAAATGATAAACAATTCTTGGGGCCAGAGCGATGGTATAGCAGATTGGGTACTTGCCGTGCACACAGCCATCCCTGGTTTGATCTCCACCATCCCATATGGTTCCCTGAGCACCCCCAGGAGTAGTTCCTGAATGCAAAGCCAGCAGTACCCCCTGAGGATCGCCAGGTGTGATTCAAAATGAAAAAAAAATTGATCAGGTCGTTGGATTTTTTTTTTAATTTATTGAATCACGGTGAGAATAGTCACAAAGCCTTTCAGTTCAAATCTTGGTCAGTCATACAATGATCAAACACCTGTCCCTTCACCAATGCACATTTTCCACCACCAAGAACCAAGAACCCCGGTATACCCCCCTCCCACCCACCCCACCTGTGTGGCAGATTTACAGTTTACTCTCTCTATCTCTCTACGTTGATCACATCAAATATTATGACAAAAGACCCAACATTATTATTTGGAATTTTCCCCAACATTCAGACCTGCCAAAAAGACATTATTAGATCATTTGTTTTCTATTGCTGATTTTGAAGAGCATATGATGTCCTGTGGCCACAATAGCAGCCACGCAAATTTGGATTTCTGATACTTTAGTAATAAACCTAGAGGGATTACTGCCCAAAGCCCCTGCGTTCGAGATTGGTTTGTGTGCCTCTGGGATCATGGTCGTTCAGAAGCTGGAGGAGGCATTTGAGGGTGGCAACCCGGAGCATTGTTATGGTGGGGAGCACGACCAATTCCACCCCCCCATCCCACGAGGCCCCACGTGCCTCATCAATACAGTCTCATACCTGGCTGTTCATTAGGCTCTAAAAGATGCAGGCCACCATGCCGTCACCGCAAGGGGTGGGGGGGGGCAGAAGGAGGGACAGACACCCTTCATCTCCTAGGGTGGCATAGCACCATAACTAAATGCACAGTCCAGATGCATTTCGGTTGGGCATTATATTTTGCTCAGATTTTCCCACCACCATTCAAGCCTGTTTTTCAGGGACAAACGCTAGATCATTTACTTTCCATTGATCACTTTGCATATCAGGAAACTGTAGCACTGTAGCACTGTCCTCTCGTTCTTCATCGATTTGCTCAAGCGGGTACCATTAACATCTCCATTGTGAGATTTCTTGTTACTGATTTTGGCTTATGGAATACGCCACGGGGGAGCTTGCCAGGCTCTGCTCTGCAGGCGGGATACTCTCGGTACCGTTAGTATAAAATAAAAATTTTAAGTATCCAATACTTAGCAGTCATGAGAAAAACAGTTACAAATTCTTCCCAGTTTTGATTTCAGTCTAATGATTCTTCTGTTTCTAAAATCTGTCTTAATGGTATTTGAGAGCCATTATATTACTATGAGATTTCCTGCTATTTGTCAGAAGCATAGATGAGCACAAATTACTCTGAAATTTTAATGATTCTTGTTTGGAGCATATGACCCAAGTTCACAGGATCAGAATTAACCAGACCCTGAAATATTTGAGCTCGTAAGCGAGTACCAAGTAAACAAACACACCTGTCTCCTTGAGAACTTAACACTTCTGAAGTCTGTCTAAAATACCTGGTACCGGTAAGCGACATTCTTATTTAACCTTTACCCTTTATCTCTTACAGAAGGTGAAGAAGATGCACAGCGAAATTCAAAAGAACAAAGTGGGGAAACCCAGGGAGAAGCAGCAAAATCCGAAAGCTAACACTTCACTTTGCCCTGTAGCAGCACCTGACAATGTCTGAAGTCTCCACACCTGGCTGGAAGGCATTTGTTTCCAAGAGGGAAAAGAGGAGAAAGAGAATGGCTGTACTGCATCGCAGGAACCTGCTCATGACCGTGTTAAAAATGGGGGCAGAGGCGATGGCTGCAGACAGATTTTTCTCTACCTCTGTCATTAGCAATGGTTGAAATCATGTGGTTTGTGTTTGGATGCCATTTTTGCCTGGTTCCTTTCACTTGACCATATGATGAGAAGCTTATAGAGAGTAGCATCGACCTAGATGATGATTCTTCCTGTAGTGTCTGGCCCCTCATAATGTCAGAGGATTTAATTGTGTCTACTTGCAAAGGGTTGGTTGAACCGCAGAGTTTAACTCTCTGGCCTAAGTATTCACCCAGTAAAAGAACATCCAGAAAGCACTGTTTTCAGCATTACGTATCCGTGTGTTCTTGCTGTGTTCTTTACACTGTTTTTGTATTGTACAATATAGACACTCAGCACTGCCCCCTTCGACTGCTTATGAGAAACAAAAAATATGTACATTACTGTGAATTTTTATACCACTCATTTTTAAAAGGGCTGGATTTTTTCCTTCTTCATAGTGTGGTGGTGTACACAGGATAGAATGCACTTTTTAAAAACAATTTGATAAAAATTTGATCTTTCCCCTGATCGCTGTATCTTGATGAATTAAGTCCAGCGGGTTCACCAATCCTCTTGCATTAGTTTAAATATTCATTAATGTGAATATAATCTGAATTCACATGTTTCACCTGGGGTCTCTGCACAGATCAGAGAATTCAGTCTGCAAACAACTTCTCCCCAACTGGACAACTTTCACAACTAATGTTTTTATTAGGCGCTAGGGAAGATGCTAAATGAAATAATTTAATAATTATTTTATTATTATTAAAATAATACCAATGACTAGAAATATGCTCTTATGGAATCACATTTTTCACAAAGTTGTATATCACTACATAAATTAGGAGATAATTATCTCCACAAAACTGCAAGATATGGACAAAATGTTCTTTCTGCAATCGTGTGGACACCAATCACAAAAGCTAAGCCCTTGTGTTATGTTTTTCATATCTTTTTCAGTCCTATCAGATCCAAATGTTATTACATACTTTTTAATGTTTGTAAACTTTTACTAATCGTTGTGAATTGCATTCTGATACAACAATCATAATTAGAAGCTAACAAAATCCTTATTAATACTGTTGATCACCTCTGCTGTGTTTTCACATCATGGTTCCTATATGGAAAGTTTCTGTGAGTTGTGTAATCTCCCTGGTCAGTATTATGAAATCATTTATCAGTGGTAATAAATAAACATCCAGTAATATGCCAGTGGCTCATTAATTACTGGAAAAATAGGAGGCAACAGGAAGACCTTTTACAATAAAGATTCTACTAAACTGTCCTTGAGTCTTAGATACAGTCCAATGTTAAGTAGCTCAAAACATATCTGGATTATTCTACCCACATGGACACTCCAAAGCTTAGCCTTTTTGTAGATTCATGTAGGAAAAAAGGTAAGTCTGCCCTGACTCTCTGTACAGTATTTTTTCTAATGACTAGAATAAGGACATGGGCATTATTTAGTCTTTCATCAAATATTACTGAAGAAAATGTTCGGAGTGAGTCTTTCAGAGTCTAACAGAGACTTTCAGATCATAGAAAAAGAAAAGATTAAAATTTGGCCACATCATTCATTTAACTCTTAGATTTGAAATGCCAAGTTAATATTCAAACAAATCTACCCATGAATAGGGGAAATTTTTTTCGTACTGGTGGGGCAAAAATATGTTCCCAGAGGTATTTTAGACAGTCTCTAATAGTTTTTTTTATATATATCGAAGCCAGGGGACTGGAGAAGTAGTACAGCGGGTAGGGCACAAAGACATGTGGCTGACCCAAGTTCAATCCCTGACATCCCATATGGTCCCCCAAGCCCACCAGGAGTGATTCCTAAGTGCAGAGCCACGAGTAATCCCTGAGCATTGCTGGCTGTGGCCCCCAAACCAAAAAATTAAAAAATTTAAAAGTAAAATACCCAATATATAAAATTATGTTTTCAATACACTCATTTACAATTCTGAAAATTTTTCTTGTAAATCTGAAGTTCTCTTTAACCTTAAAGTTATGAAATTCAAAACTAATTTAATATGGTGTTGTGAAGTGTAGGATTAGTGCACAGTAAATATGGAGGGTGTATATTCTTCTGTGATATATTATTATTAATGCATGTGCTGTCATGCTTGTCTCTGAATATTTAATAATACAAAACTGTGAAGTCATATGGAGCTTTTGAATTCTTTTGACCTCTTACTGCTACTTCGTCTGCTGTATTTAAACCCAGAGGCATTCCTTAACTAGAAGATTAAAAATCTTTAAAAAATGCCCACATCTCACAAATGTTGCTTAGCAAAAGTTCACAATTTCTTTAAAATCAGATTTTACTTGCTAATCAATAAAATAAATGGAATTGTAAGGCTTTATAAAGATAGAAAGGGTAGAACACTAACACAAACTATTGGTTTAATATGCATTCAGTGCTTATTAAACAATCAAATTTATGCTAATCTCCTCTTTGCAGCATAGTCTCTCATTTAGTCCTCAAATAATTTGCTTACAGAGGTAGCTTGGCAGGGATCAAGCAGCGCTGCCTCATTGGACTGTAACACTGAACCACATGGCCCAATTGGCTGAGTATAGACTGGATCTCAAGATTCTGGAATTTTTTTTTTAATTTTTATTAGTGAGACACCCTGAGGTACAGTTGTAGACTTACACATTTTTGTGAAGATTCTGGAATTTTGTTTGGGAATTTTCCTGCCCCTCCCACTTGTACACACACACACACACACACACATACACACGTATGCTAGCCTATTTCACAGAATAGAAAATTAAAGCTCAATAAAATATAATTTCTCCATGTGTTAAAACCCAATAAATAATGAAATTAAGATTTGAATTATGTCTGTCTCTAAGGAGTGTTCCATGGCACCTGTCATATAACTAAATAATGTTTCTCTGTGAAGGAAACTTTCAGAAATGGATGAGTTGACCTCCTTATGTTATAGAAGGAAGGGGATTTTATTTCACAAGGTCTCCTATCTGGATAATGACATAGATGTGAATAGGTCTTGGAAAGAGTACTTCATATAAGAAAGGAAAGAAAGAAAGAAAGAAAGAAAGAAAGAGAGAGAGAGAAAGAAAGACAGAGAGACAGACAGAAAGAAAGAAAGAAAGAAAGAAAGAAAGAAAGAAAGAAAGAAAGAAAGAAAGAGAAAGAGAGAGAGAGAGAAAGAAAGAAAGAAAGAAAGAAAGAAAGAAAGAAATTCAATCTGAACTTATTCTTTGTGTTTTACTTTCCAAAAGAATTTTTCTAGCATGCAGTCAGTAAACGTAGCATGGTTCAGATTTTTCAGTTTCTATGCTACTCATTTGATAATTAGCAATGTAACAGTTTCGGGTTTTCAACAAGCATGAGCTTGTTCACTTTACCTTTCATCAACTAAACGTAGTTTGCCAATGTACTGCGATTTAAAAAAAAAAAATCATGGTACTGTTTTTTAATAGATGTCTTCAGTTTTTAGACAGTTGCTCCAGTGCTGTAAATGTCCTGTCCTTGAGTCTTGCTCAGATACAGTGAAGATGCACAATGTTAGAAGATGAATAATACTCTTTCTCTTCAGAGCAGAAACAAGGGGTTGAAATTGTAATTTTCAGGCAGCATAGCTTCTGAAAGAAGACTATAGTAATAGAGAGGAAATGTATAGAAATCAAATGAAAACATGAAAGGGGTCTGTGATTAATGTTGTCCTCCTAGGCCCTCCAATGTTCTTTGAGAGTGGCAGTCTCTGAAGTCATTTGTGAGCTTGTATGATTTTTGTACTTAGCGGTGTTGCATGCTCACATAATTGATATTAAAAGTAATACATTTTTCGGAAATATACACAGTCTACTAAGAGTATTTATTGAATACGCACTATGAATTTTTTGCTGATGAAAGTGCCGTGGTGGCAAAAAGGAAATCTAATGCCTCCTCCATCTTATGGTAGCTACATTCAGAGTTCCAACCTCATTTTTTTCTGACCTTTGCTTAGTAATTTTCACCTCCATTCCACCTAAGTCTCGCTTCCTGGCCTTATCGTCTACTGAGCCAACTGAAATTATAAAGTCCTGTATTATTCCTGTGGTTCTTACCTACCCAAACCCCAGGGTAGTGGTTTACTTTTTGTTTTCTTTTTGGGTCACACTCGGCGATGCACAAGGGTTCCTTCTGGCTCTGCACTCAGGAATTCCTCCTAGCAGTGCTCAGAGGACCATATGGGATGCTGGGAATCGAACCCAGGTTGGTCGTGTGCAAGGCAAATGCCTTACCCCCTGTGCTATTGCTCCAGCCTCTGGGTAGTGGATTTCAATCAGGAAAAAAGGCTGTTTTATTTTTTTTACGATTTTGTTTTATTTGAATGGCTTTTTACACCACATACCCCTCCCCAACCCACCCCCAGCTTTCTGCACAAATGAAGATTCATTTTCACATGATTTCTTCCCCTTGAAAACTTTCCTGCAGCTCCTGGTACATTTTTTCTCCTCTGTGTCACCTCTATAACTTGAGAGCCAGTGATGGAGAAGTGGTGCACAATTCCCTAATGTACTCGCCTTGTTCACTTCATCAAAAATGCTTCAGAGTGAACCGACAGCAAAAAAGAAGGCTCACAGACACACTCAAGATTTTACTATATAAGGAATAACATCTTGCAGAGTTGAACTTCGTTCCTATTAGTGTCTCTCTCTTTATGTCATATTTTTCTTCACATACAGGCAAGCTAAGAACCAAATGGAATTCAGGAGAAAGTAGGCATCAAGTAGGCATCAATTACTTGACCAGAGCCCAGAAGATTTAAGCCAAAGATCCAAAAGAGGATACTCATCATTATCCAGTTCACAGGGCATTTGGCATAAGGCACACGGCAGTAAAACAAGTTTGTGTTATAGACCAGTGTCTCAAATATAAATATATATATACATATAATATGTATATATATATATATTTGCATCTGTTTAGTTAAGGATGTGAGGACTGGTGATGTCTGTCTTTCCTTGTAGATTCAAAACTAAGAAACCATATAAAGATGTATATTTCCTCAGAAACTCTCCTACTGGTCTGGAAACCAATGTTAATTTCTCCCCTCTGTGTTCATCATTTCCTTGTTTGTCTTTATGCTACCTCTGCCCATTCAAAATCAATCCATCTCCTTTCTCACTACTGGCTTCTGAATAACTGTAAAAAGTTTGTGACAATGCTTATGATTGTTTGCAGCCTCAGCTTAAATGTATTGCCCTGCTTTTTTCATGTCCCTGAAGACAGTTTCCCACTTCCTCTCTACAATCTATTCTTGCCTCTGACATTTCAAACGATTTTCTCTTCTGACATTATCAGCACTTCTGTTACCTTTTCTCCTTGTGAACTGTCTTTCCTATAAATCTGTTCAGGTTCCCAAGTTCCCCTCTTTCTGCACTCTGTATATTTCCCAAATAGTAATCCATTGTCCCTGTTCAGTTGCTTCCCTTTCTGTGTTTCAGTTTATTTTGAAATTTGACTAGCAGTTCAATTTTTTAGCAACGAGATCTTTAATTGCTCTTTGACTCTTAGTAACTATTACAAAAGGCTGTGGAAATTTAAAATGAAGCTGCAAAGGACTCAAACGTCAAATTGGATAGCACAGCGGTAGGGCGTTTGCCTTGTACACAGCCAGCCTGGTCGACCGGGTTCGATTCCTCCGCCCCTTTTGGAGAGCCCAGCAAGCTACGGAGAACGTATTCAATATGCCAAACACAGTAACAATAAGTCTCAAAATGGAGACATTACTGGGCCCACTCTAGCAAATCGATGAATAATGGGAGGACTGTTCTGACAGGGTATGACTGCATAACAAAGCCTCCTTATGGAATATATAAAAATTCATCTCCTCAAAAATATTTCTTTCCTCCAATTCCACACCTCTCATCATGTATATTTGATCACAATCTCCCCATAATTTTGTTTGCTGCATCCTTGATCACATACCACTCATTTTTTCACAGGGAATTGTTGCCACATATACATCGACACTAACCTGAAGTCCAGACACCCAGAGATGGGCAAGATTACCTTGCGTGATATTTTTGAGCTCTGTGTTCCATTATGCTCCAGTATTACTGCCAATGATATTAATAGTTATTCCCAACTGCACTTACATAGAAGCAAAAACTATAGGCTTATCTCTGCCAAAGACTACAGCAATTCGCTGAATTAGGCCTTATAACAAATACATCATTCTTCATTACTGAAGGTACAGATAGTTTAGGTATGTTTTATTATTCTGCTCTGTGTGCTGAATTACGTTCAGCACAGAAACTTTTTTGATA